GAACTGTCACTGGAGACTAGTGTCCTTTCAGTCTGGCAGCTAAAACACTCACAGTAATCACGGGCCTTGCTCCTAGGCGAAGGGATTATTTGTCAGTGCAATTACCCGTCACAAGCCTCTTCCTATCGTGGCTGCTTCTGTGGACAACTTCTCTGGATCAACTTACCGATAACTTGCTAAGTCTGAACTGGCATGGGCATTTGACGGGTGATTCTCACTCTTCTTATTACACACCAACGACAGAGGGTGACGTAATCACTCCTCTATTTTCACCGTGGGCGCCCTGCTAAGTCTGAGTAATAACAGTGTTCTTCACAGTCACTTTGTGCATGTCCACCTTGTCCGCAAGGCTAACCAGCTGCTCCTCTCAATGCTGGGAAGTATCCTTACTCCCTCTGGTAAGCTCAACTTGTCGCTCGACCGCGAACTGGTGGTAAACTCTTAGAGCACTGACGCATACGTCTACACTTAGTCAAGTCCGCGTGGTCAGTGACCCAGCTGGCCAGTCTGACGTCCCTATTGGGACTTGCTGGTGACGTCACTGAAAGACTCCTGCTCTTTGGCTGCAACTTTGCACCTCCACCCAATCAGGCCTTTCGCTGCTTAGTCTCTAGGCCAGTGCCACTGCACTAGGTGGGGACTCGCCCTCTGGTAGCGACTCCCGGCGCCATTTTATTTAGCCCCTTGCTGCTTCCTCCCTTCAGCCAATGCCTTAAAATCAAATTTTACACTAAAATATTACCACTAATATGGTAATAATTGACTCTTGCTGTTAGAATGGACTGAAATAGATGGCGATCATAACATATATATATATATATATATATATATATATATATATATATATATATATATATATATATATATATATGTCGTACCTAGTAGCCAGAACGCACTTCTCAGCCTACTATGCAAGGCCCGATTTGCCTAATAAGCCAAGTTTTCACGAATTAATTGTTTTTCGACTACCTAACCTACCTAACCTAACCTAACTTAAGTTTTTCGGTTACCTAACCTAACCTAACCTATAAAGATAGGTTAGGTTAGGTTAGGTAGGGTTGGTTAGGTTGTCATATATCTACGTTAATTTTAACTTCAATAAAAAAAATTGACCTCATACATAATGAAATGGGTAGTTTTATCATTTCATAAGAAAAAAATTAGATAAAATATATTAATTCAGGAAAACTTGGCTTATTAGGCAAATCGGGCCTTGCATAGTAGGCCGAGAAGTGAATTCTGGCTACTAGGTACGACATATATATATATATATATATATATATATATATATATATATATATATATATATATATATATATATATATATATATATTTTTTTTATTTAAATATGGAAGGGAGTACCACCTCTAGCTGGAAGAAGGGGGACCCATAGCCTCGGAGGAAACCACGCATAACGCATTAGAGGGAATGTTTAGATCCCCTCCAATACAGTTTCTGTGTGCTTTTCTCCTACCACCCCCTTCCTTTTTTATTTTTTGTGCTTTATTATGCATTTGATGGTTACAAGATATACATGGGTTGATACAAAAATAATAATGCAAAAAGGTGCTTAAAGGTTATGGATCTCTTGAAAAACACAACAATGGGAAACATTGATGAATGTCACAGACGGGTTCGATCATTGTTGCAAGTCAAACACTTCTTCGAATTCCTCTGAAGTTGGACTAGTGCCCAAGACGCAACAGGCATTTCCCCTCTGAATCGCAACACTGAGGCGCTGGAACAAGAAACTTTTTGCTCTCTGGTCTTTTGTAGCGCTGATCAATTTGTCCCCCAATTCCTTCAGGAACTTCAATGCACATTTTCCCCACGAACCGAGGGTCTCCGAGCCGATCGGAACAAAGCTGTAGCAGTGTGCTAGACCTCTGTATTTAATAATTTTCTGCGATTCCCTGAAAGAAGCAGCACCACCGCTTTCACGTGTGCTGTAGTGGAGGTAGGTACTGGCCAGTGTGGCAGCGCACGTGTAGTCCCATACCACTTGCTTACCATCCTTCCAAGGTAGCAAGGTGACCCCATCAGGGCGCTTCTGAGGGTCGTTAGGTCTGGATAAGTGTGGTTCTCTTTGTGCCGGGCAGCGGGCTGTGGCGAGGCTCCTCTTGATGATGTCGTTGACTTCTTCATGTCTTGCGATTTTACCCTGTGATTTACGACATACCAGACCATGACGACCATATTGGTCTGCCATCGCAGTTCCGCAGATGCACCTATGTTCGGTGAGGATCGGGGCGGCAAGGCGAAGGGCAACTCCAATGCGGAGAGCGTCATGACTGAGGCGAGTTCCCAGGGCTGCATTGGGCACAGCAAATAAAAAATCCCCGGCGTGGGGTGCTGTTACCGCTAGGAGGCGGGCTTTGTTTTCAGCATCAGCGTTGTCAATCATTGCTGTGACAGTCTTTTCCATTATGGGGCTATCCCAGTGGGCCTGCTTGTGGTCTTTTGGGACTTGTGGTCGGGGTTGAGGGTGTGCAATGGTGTCCCATTGTCTGGCTGCTTCGATGAACGTTTGATCATGAGTTCCCGCTGTCTCTCTCATACGCTCTGGTAGGATCTGCCCTACCAATTCGTTGGCTGCTGTACATGAGGATAAGAATGCTGGAAGTGCTACCTCAGTTGCCTTTCGTATGCCTATCCCTCCAAATCTCACTGGTAGTGTTGCTTGGTCCCACTGACTGTCATCTAAATCTAGGTTGAGCGCCTTCCTGAATATTGACCTGAGGAGCTCATCATATTGATTTAGAAGTGGGTTGCCAAAAGTTGGTGCACACCTTAAGAAGTATGTTAGCCTGGGCAAGGTAAGGCACTTTGTGAGAAGGTAGAGGGCATCGTGGGAGTCCAAGTCCCCAATTCTCTCTTCCATCCTCTTTAGGTCTCTAAACTTTTCGTCAAGGACTGCAGCAATGGCATTGTGGCCCAGAGGTGCTCCGAGTAGTGTGCTGTCGGTAGGTTTAACGACTGAGGCTTCTGGTAAAACTGATTTCACTGCTCTAATGATTACTTCACTAGATGCAATAATTTCGCACTTGGAGGGGTTAAGAACGAGACCCATGGACTCCCCCCGTGTCTTCACCAGCTGTAGGTCTTCTAGCAGGGAATCTTGTGTGCCTGCCAGAGTGCCATCATCCAGGAACCAGATGTTGAGCTCGCTGGACAGTCTGGTTGTAATTTCTCGAACCGCTATGCAAAAGAGGAACGGTGCAAGTGGGTCACCCTGTTGAATTCCCTCTGCTGAGGTGACTTCATGTTTGCCAAACAGGAGGGTTGAGTCTTTGCTGTAGCCTGCTGACACAAACGGGAGAATGCTTGGGCAATGTTCCTGGACTGCAGTGAGGATTGCTTCCCTTTTGACCGAGTTGAAAGCGTTTTTAAAATCTAATTTTACTACTGCCTGGTCTTCAGTAAGAGAGCTAATGTAGGCTCGTGCAGCATGGGCCGCTGCTTCACAGCCTTGGGGGACTCCAAACCCCAGCTGGTTGGGTTGCAGCATGGTGGCTGCTTCCGTTCGGATACTTCTGACAGCAGCCCTTGCAACTAGGCGGCGAAGGGTATTACCAACGGCAATGGGTCTGATCCCTCCCCCCTTCTTTTTAAGGGCACATAGGGAAGCACCAAAGAAGAATGGTTTGATTTCATCAGGGATTAACCCGGCGAGGCAGTTGTTGACAAACGTTGTGATTTCTGTCAGGAGCGCTTCTGCAGCTGGGCCAAGAACAGGGTTCACCATTTCCTTCACATGTTGAGGTCTAACCCCTGTGTAGCCTCCTGAGGAGCCCGGGGGAAATGAAACGATAGCTTTATAAACCTCTGACTCCCGGAGGACGAGAGGTTCCTGGTTAGGGGCGAGCCTGACCTGTGGGGGAGGTCCACCTACTGCCCTGAGGGGGTGTTTTTCTCTCAGTGCTTGGGCTGTGGTTTCATCTCTGGGCAAAATTTTGTCCTCACTTGTGATCAACCTGAGTGCCCCGACTGTATTGCCCTCTTCAATTTTCTTGCTGACTTGGGTACCTAATTTTCTGTTGTCGCTGATTGTCTGATTGATTGGCTTGGTCTGCCTCGGCGGTGTTTGGTGTGTTTGGGGAGGCGGACTAGGTTGTCAGCCCTAGGAAAATCCCTAATTGCTTTATTGACGGATGAGGCCAGTGTCTTGCCTCCTCTGTCTGGTACACCTAAGCATGCATTGCCAAAAAGTAGCAGATTGTGCCAGGCTTTGATGGTATCAGGTGCATCAAGGTTATTCGACCCTCTGTTGACTTTTGCGATGAGGTCCGTGTATTTCCCCTCCACTCTCTCTTATATGTATATATATATATATATATATATATATATATATATATATATATATATATATATATATATATATATATATATATATATGTCGTACCTAGTAGCCAGAACGCACTTCTATGCAAGGCCCGATTTGCCTAATAAGCCAAGTTTTCTTGAATTAATATATTTTCTCTAATTTTTTTCTTATGAAATGATAAAGCTACCCATTTCATTATGTATGAGGTCAATTTTTTTTATTGAAGTTAAAATTAACGTAGATATATGACAAAACCTAACCAACCCTACCTAACCTAACCTAACCTATCTTTATAGGTTAGGTTAGGTTAGGTAGCCGAAAAAGTTAGGTTAGGTAGACGAAAAACAATTCATGAAAACTTGGCTTATTAGGCAAATCGGGCATTGCATATTAGGCTGAGAAGTGCGTTCTGGCTACTAGGTACGACATTATATATATATATATATATATATATATATATATATATATATATATATATATATATATATATATATATATATATATTAAATACAAATCACAAGTAAAATACAAATCAAAATTATAAGAATGCAATCATGAAATTAATGCACAAGGAAACAAGGATAATTAAAAATAGGAAAAAGCCTTGGAAAAAAGGAAAATTAAGACTGGAAATAAAAAATAATAAGAATACTCGTGCGATGACGCGTAATCATACCTGTCGGTGAAATAAAACTGGCCCACCACGTTCACAAAGTTAAGCAGCTCGCAGACGAAGAACTGGTAAGCGTAGAGGTTGTGGTGGTGGAGGTTCTTGTCGAAGTAGTTGACGGCCATATTAATGCGTTCCTTCCTCAGGTCCGGGCTGGAGATGGGCAGGCAGAGCTCCCCGACCAAGCCTCGAACTCGCCCGCCCTCCCAGCTCTTCCACATGTACCGAGGAACGTAGAACATCCCGGCCTGTAAGGTAGACCATTTATAGCGTTTGTGTGATGCTCTCTTCGCTACCTCATAAGTTCTCGTGTCACAAGAGATGTATTTTTGGAATTGGTGTTTTTGTTTTTAGTGCATATTTGCACATGTGGTATTTTGCCACTCATATTCTTTTCATAATCTTGTATTTATGCATGATTTCATATATAATGTCGATTGTGTTTATGCATTATTGTGCATCTGTGCATGGTTGCTGTTTTTTGTATTTTTTGTGTGTTGATTGTGTATCTGATGATGACAGTGTATCTGTTAATGATTGTGTATCTGTGCATCACTGTGAATCGGTTGATGATTGCGTATACATGGAGTTCACCAAAGTTTTTGATAAGGTACCACATGAAAGACTAGCAAGAAAATTACAAGCGTTTCGAATTAATGGTAGAATACTTGAATGGATTATTCAACGAAGAAAGCAAAGGGGAGTCCTAAACGAAAATGAATCTAACTGAAGCGGTGATGAGTGGGGGTACCACAAGGTTCCATTTTGATTCCAACCCTTTCTGTCATATACGTCAGTGACATAGATGAGAATATTACAAAGATCAGATCAAGATGACACCTAATATCTATAATAAAGTTGGAGGTGAAAACGAAATTGAGGCCTAACAAAGAGATCTACATGAGCTCCACAAATGGTCGGAAGACTGAAAAATGCGTTTCAAAATCGAGAAATGCAAAACCTTGCATATGAGGCATAACAATGCTCATCTCAACTAACAAATCAAAATTACCTTGTACCAGATTGATGAAGAAAAGAAACGGAGTCAAAATCTGTCACTTGCACATGTGGGAGCTGCAATAAAAAATCCAACCAAACACTAGGAATAGTAAAATGAACTTCATTTTACTAGACTTCAGTCTAGTAAAATTTGACTTTAAGGAATAGAAGTTAGGTATAAATCTCTTGTGGGCCCCCACTTGGATTATTGTATCCAAGCACATAAATCTCATCTTCAGAAAGACATATCTGTTTCTGTTTCTGTTTCGGAAATCTGTATCTGTTGTATTGTATCTGTTTCGGAAAAGTTCAGCACCGGACGAGAAAAATAATTCCAGGACTAAGCCGACATGCATGCCAAGAACGGCTGAGGGGCGTTGATAACCAGATATGACAGGGCTGAAATCATCGAGAATTTTATAATACTGACCAGTTTGGAGAATATTGATCTAAATCACTTCTTTAAAAGGTCAGATGAAGCACGAACAAGGAGCAATAGTTTGAAGTTCAACAAGCCACAATGTTGGACAGAAAACAGGAGAGGCTTTTACACCCATAGGGTTTTAAACGCCTGGAGCTGCCTACCTGCCGAAGCCGTAATGGTGAAAACACTGAAGAATTTCAAAATTCAGCTCGATAAAATCCTCAGGACAAATGGGGGACCTTTGACAATCCGCCGGCTTCCTATCCTTGAGGTTATCTTGAGATGATTTCGGGGCTTTAGTGTCCCCGCGGCCCGGTCCTCGACCAGGCCTCCAACCCCCAGGAAGCAGCCCGTGACAGCTGACTAACACCCCAGGTACCTATTTTACTGCTAGGTAACAGGGGCATAGGGTGAAAGAAACTCTGCCCAATGTTTCTCGCCGGCGCCTGGGATCGAACCCGGGACCACAGGTTCACAAGTCCAGCGTGCTGTCCGCTCGGCCGACCGGCTCCCTGGTCGAAGCCACTGGAGAGATAGTGGCCCCGTTATTGTGACTCATCGTCTGCAGGTACATATTGGTGTATTGGTTGATGATTGTCCATCTGTACTTGATTGTATATTGCTTGATGATTGTGCATCTGTACATGAACGTGTATTGTTTAATGATTGTGCATCTGTATATGAACGTGTATTGCTTAATGATTGTGCATCTGTACATGAACGTGTATTGCTTAATGATTGTGCATCTGTATATGAACGTGTATTGTTTAATGATTGTGCATCTGTATATGAACGTGTATTGTTTAATGATTGTGCATCTGTATATGAACGTGTATTGTTTAATGATTGTGCATCTGTATATGAACGTGTATTGTTTAATGATTGTGCATCTGTATATGAACGTGTATTGTTTAATGATTGTGCATCTGTATATGAACGTGTATTGCTTAATGATTGTGCATCTGTACATGAACGTGTATTGTTTAATGATTGTGTATCTGTATATGAACGTGTATTGCTTAATGATTGTGCATCTGTACATGATTGTTTATTTCCATTCTCCAGTCATCATGTGAACAAATCTTCCATCCTTTGATTTTCTCAACTCCATAGATCTCACATCAAGAACAGTTTGGAATGTTTGTTGAGCTCTGTGACAAACCTCTCCCCCACACCAACACTGGACACTATACAACTTTACCTCACCAATGACCTGATTAAAAAAATATATATATATTTAAAGAGTTGGAATTAGCGATGAATTTCATGAAATTCTATGATACAGTAAATTCAAATGTTGCGAACACTGATAGCTTACAGCTAAACAGGATTCATTTTGAGTTACGGAGCAAAACTGTTATAACATCTTATCTAATTAAAAGATAACACAACTTAGATAACCCTCATATTGTGTGGTTATTGATGTCACATAAGTCGTACAAGGGACCATTAAGGCAGTAGGTACGTTACAGTATAATAATTATTATATTGTACGTGGGGTGTGTTATTTCAATTGTATTGTAAGGGTGTTGTTACAGTCTGCAGTAGAGGTTGTTCTGTTATTGGTCACGTTGAAGAACAAAAGATTTCGTTGTGGTCAGTTGTTCTGTCAAGGGTTATATTGAAGAACTGGTCAGTTGTTCTATCAGGGGTTATGCTGAAGAACAGGTCAGTTGTTCTGTCATTGGTTATGCTGAAGAACAGGTCAGTTGTTCTGTCAGGGGTTATGTTGAAGAGCAGGTCAGTTGTTCTGTCAGGGGTTATGTTGAAGAACAGGTCAGTTCTCTCATGGGTTATGCTGAAGAACAGGTCAGTTGTTCTGTCAGGAATTATGTTGAAGAACAGGTCAGCTGTTCTGTCAAGGGTTATGCTGAAGAACAGGTCAGTTGTTCTGTCAGTGGTTTTGAAAAACAGGTCATCTGTTTTGTCAGGGGTTATGTTGAATAACAAGCCAGTTGTTCTGTCAAGGGTTATGTTGAATAACAAGCCAGTTGTTCTGTCAGGTGTTATGTTGAATAACAAGCCAGTTGTTCTGTCAGGTGTTATGTTGAATAACAAGCCAGTTGTTCTGTCAAGGGTTATGTTGAATAACAAGCCAGTTGTTCTGTCAAGGGTTATGTTGAATAACAAGCCAGTTGTTCTGTCAGGGGTTGTGCTGAAGAAAAGGTCAACTGTTCTGTCAGGGGTTATGCTGAAGAACAGGTCAGTTTTTCTGTCAGGGAAAATGCTGATCAGTTGTTCTGTCAGGGGTTATCTTGAACAGGAAGGATGGGTAGTGATCAGTTCTTCTGTTAGTGGACACACCTAAAATTATTGGGTTTATATAAATATGCTCGTGTATTTACTTGTCTCATTTATTATAGGTAGTTTGGTAGTTACGAGAATTATTTATCAAATGCGCATAGTATGATATACTATGGAAGGTGATTGTAGCTATGTCTGCTGAGACTAATTCTATATCAGTATTGAAATTGAAATTGAAATAAGTTTATTGAGGTAAAATACACACAAAGGGATGAGGTAGCTCAAGCTATTCTCACCCCATTCAGTTTATCAGTATTTGGAGGTCTGAGTATTCAACCCGTTCTCGCAAATTTAATAAGTCAATATTGACTTATTAAATATGTGCATAGGTGACATACTTAACATAATAGATACCCTTAAAAAGATTCATAGAAAACACCGACCTTACCTAACCTACTTAGTATGTTAAGATAAGCATCTTATTGCTTCGTAATTACAATTATTACCTAACCTATAATAGGTATAGGTTAAGTAATAATTGTAATTACGAAGCAATAAGATGCTTATCTTAAGATACTAACAAGGTTAGGTAAGGTCGGTGTTTTCTATGAATCTTTTTAAGGGTATCTATTATGTTAAGTATATCACCTATGCACGTAGTTAATAAGTCAATATTGACTTTACGAATTTGCGAGAACGGGTTGGAGTATTGCACTTGCAGTTAGGCAAGTCTGGTGTATTCTCAATAAATATTCACAGCCATTTATCTTATGTTGATATTACGCATACACTCTCTAGTATGTGAGCATAGCAAACTCAGGGCTAAAGTCATAAGAGTATACAAAGATGGGAACACTGGTACGCCTACTGGCCCGCACTGGTAGGGCTACTGGCCCGCACTGGTAGGCCTACTGGCCCGCAATGGTAGACCTACTGGCCCGCAATGGTAGACCTACTGAACAAATCCACAAGGGCCGTGACGAGGATTCGAGCCTACGTCCGGGAGCATCCCAGACACTGTCTTAATCGACTGAGCTACGACAGGGTAAAAAGAGTTGAAACCGAAGTTCTACTGAACTTACTGGATCTCGTAGCCTCTCCGAGGCACAAACCAGGATTTTACACAACTCCCCCCTGCACCCGTAGGGCCTCGTAGCCTGGTGGATAGCGCGCAGGACTCGTAATTCTGTGGTGCGGGTTCGATTCCCGCACAAGGCAGAAACAAATGGGCAAAGTTTCTTTCACCCTGAATGCCCCTGTTACCTAGCAGTAAATAGGTACCTGGGTGTTAGTCAGCTGTCACGGGCTGCTTCCTGGGGGTGGAGGCCTGGTCGAGGACCGGGCCGCGGGGACACTAAAGCCCCGAAATCATCTCAAGATAACCTCAAGATAACCCGAGCTATGTCAATAGGCCGTTTTCCCTCTTCGCCCTTACATCATCACACACAGAGATCACACTAACGTGATGCATCAAATGAACAAATCTACAAGGGCCGTGACGAGGATTCGAACCTGCGTCCGGGATGCCTGCGTCCAAACTCCGAGGTTTGTGCCTCGGAGAGGCTACGGGATCCAGTAAGT